TTTGGGTCTTGCGGGATAGGTCTCTGTGGCTTCTGCTCAGCCCCGAGGTTGTTACATCAGGACAGTGGCCAGGGGCCATTTGCAAAGGAGCAGGCGGGTGTGGCCATGTCCCTCACAACTTGACTGACAACAATAGGTGAGGCTAGGATTTGGCCTGAGGGCTCTTTGCCTCTCCCTAAAACCCAACTGTCATCTCAAAGGCAGAAAAACACTACTAGAAAGATCGAGGGGTCTCACTGTGGTTTCGATCTGTATTTCCCTGATGATGAGTGATGCGGAGCATCTTTTCATGGGTCTGTGGGCCGTCTGGATGTCTTCTTTGGAGAAGTGTCTGTTCATGTCTTTTGCCCGTTTCTTTACTGGATCATTTGTTTCTTGGGTGTCGATTTTGGTAAGTCCTTTATAGATTTTGGATACTAACCCTGTGTCCAATATGTTATTTGTAAATATCTTCTCCCATGTCGGTTGCCTTTTAGTTTTGTTGTTTCCTTTGCTGTGTGGAAGCTTTTGTATCTTTTTTTAAAAACTGTTTATTTATTTTGAGGGAGAGGATACATGTGTGTTAGCGGGGGAGGGGCAGAGAGAGAGGGGAAGAGAGAGAATCCCAAGCAGACTTCTTGCTGTCAGAGCAAAGCCTGATGTGGGGCTCAATCCCACAAACTGTGAGATCACGACCTGAGCCAAAATCGAGAGTCAGACGCTTAACCAACCGAGCCCCCCAGGCGCCCCGGAAGCCTTTTATTCTGATGACGTCACACTAGTTCACTCTTATCTCCCTGTTCTCCGGAGATTGTCTAGTAAGAGGTTGCTGCGGCCCGTTTTCTCCTGTAGGATTTTGATGGTGTCCTGTCTCACATTTAGGTCTTTCACCCATTTTGAATTTGTTTTCGTGTATGGTATATATAACAGAATACTACTCAGCGATCAAAAAGAAGGAAATCTTGCCATTTGCAACAACGTGGATAGAACTAGAGTGTATTACGCTAAGCAAACTAAGTCACTCGTGTGTGGAATGCGAGAAACATAACAGATGAACATAGGGGAAGGGAAGAAAAGTAAGATAAAAACAGAGAGGGGGTTAAAAACCGTAAGAGACCCTTAAATACAGAGAACAAACTGAGGGTCACTGGAGAGGGGTAGGGGGGATGGGCTAGATGGGGGATGGGCATTAAGGAGGGCACCTGTTGGGATGAGTGCTGGGTGTTGTAGATGTTAGCTAACTGGAATTAAATAAGAAAGAAGGAAAGAAAGAAAGAAAGAAAGAAAGAAAGAAA